ATACACATGTAATATATTTACTAAGATTTGCTCCCTCTCTCAATAATTCCAACTTCCTTTTCTTTTTGTGTTATCGTGTCGCTATGTGTAATTTCTTTTCCTAAATTATATCTTATGCTAATGCACGGATATTGGCCCATACGAGAGAAGATATAATAAAACGTTTCCGTTTTGTCAAGTTGATGGCAATCTTGTCATTAAAGTCGAATCCTTTGTATTTGTATATTTCCACAAATATGCAAATATCCTTTGTGTCGTTTTGCGTTACGAATCTCTTATTGCGAGAAAATGTTTTGCTCATATCTCAAAAGGTTTCAACGAACGTTGGGACTCATAAAGTAATCATTTCGCCATCCACTGGCACGACTTGCATGTTGAACATCGGTAATATATTGGATATTATTGCAAGAGAGGGACGCGTTATGAATCCGCGAAGAGAAGCATGAGAGAGATTGGTAGTCCAAGCGATGAACAATAGCCGATCATTTTTCAAAACTGTTTAAATTGACCCGGAATCCTTTTAAAAAATTTCAGTGAATCGGTTTTTAGATAACGTGAAACGTTCAAAATGGATCATAAAAAATAAACGATTTGCTACGTTGAGCAATATTTTCTCGCATCAATCTGCTATGTTAAATTGTATTTATGTACATCAAGTGTATTGTGTTAATTTTACATATATTTTGTATATAAATGTTGATTTCCCCACGGAGCAAAAAAGATTAACTTTTAATTTCATTTATGAACAAATTCTAATCACAGTTCTCTCTACATGATTTTTGTGCTAAGTATATTACGAAATGTTAAAAATATATAGTTTTATAACACTGCGCATTTTTAATTAAATGTACGTTTAGCATATTTTTGTGCGAATTGCCTATTTATAAAACAATTTCAATTGCATCGTCAAGTAATAAAAATTTTAATTATTTGTTTCAACAAAAATTTCATAAGCTCATTATCCGCAAATGCAGTCTAAATATTTTTTTGATTCTATTTCACATTTTCACGTCAGTTTTCTCACGTCATTTCTATTAACTTTTCGTCGAGAATGTAGAATTTCGTCAATCCAAATTTTTGAGGTTGAGTGCAGATTTTTATATTATTCCGGATTGTACAGAAATCTGAAAAATTCTTGCATACTTGTGAAAGCTTTATCACTGAGTTTTTTTATCTTTTTACTATATCATTGGATTGTATTTTATTTACTTTTTGTAGATTTAAATTTATTTATCAGAATTTACAATTAAATAATAAATCGATTGTGTTTTCAAAGTTCAACTGGACCGAAAAGTTGAATTCCGTGTTTGTATTCCTTAATTGATTAATTAGTTTTTACAGATTTCCACATCACATGGTTACCAAAAAAGCATTCAAGCAAGAACTTACCAAAAGTACGATGTTTGAAATTGGTCTGAAAATCTTTTTTTCACTTGTCACATTGTGTCTTAGTATTCCTAAGGAGAGATACTATATTACCTACTTGCTTACGCGATCTTCATCATTTGCTCCCTTCCGACTATTCCTCTTGTGTGGAAACTTTCCTCTCGGTTGTTCCAACAGAAGAGGCTTTTTTTCTTCATCTAAAACCCTGAACAAATGCATCCCACGCGAGTTGTTTTTTCTACTCCGGAAAACGCATCAATCTCTCTATGCGAACTGGCCTATCCGCGTTCGACGGGGATGAAGCGGCTTTCTCGAAGCTTTTAGTCGTCAAGTGTGCTATACGAACAAAAGGTTTCGAAACGGACAGATGTTTCACTAATGATAGATAAATATATTATATATGTTAAAATAACACATTCTTTATGATAATAATTCAAATTAATTAAAAGCAAATAATATTCTAATTAATTATGCGCGTCACAAATTTGCAAAACAAATGCAAAAATATTATTATTATATAAATCATATAAATTATATAAATTATATAAATTTTCTCTCGTATTTTAAATTGAAATTTTCTGTTCATGTGAATTAAGAAGAACTTAATAATGGCCGATATTTAATTAATTCTTATTATAAGACAATCTTAAGTAATATCTTAAATGCTAAGGTTGTCTGGTTTATGACATCTTAAGACTACTTAAGACAATCTTAAATAGAAAGAATCGTGATATGGACCATTGGTCAATGACTCTTATATTATTACATTACTCTTATATAATATCATAATTATTATATTATTATATATGTATGTATAATAGTATCATTATAATAACAAATCGCACGTGTGTAAATAATAACATAAAATACTTCACAGAGATTTTACCGTTGCGAAAAGTCCTGTTTTCGAAAAGTCTTCCTTGCATTATTTCAAGAGTTCGTCAACATTCATCTACAACGACTCTGAGCTTCCTAGTACTCGACATGCACTCTCATAAGAGCATCAACTATTAAATAAGTCTCTCTCTACACGAGGCTGAAAAGAGATGACGAGTGAAACTTATATTAAATCTTAGAATTACCTGAGGTCTTTCAGAAATTTCTTCCGAGATTGCGCTTATAAATTTTCCGTCAAATTTCGGCGCTCTCTAAGGAGAAGCCTTCGTAAACATTGTATCTATCTAGAAATTATGCTGACGATATTGCATCGTTCCGCAATTTCTCGTTCATTTCATAGAAACGTTTAAATACGACATATATGTTTGTGTCTCGAAATATTAAAATGATGTTTTCAAGATACGAAGAAACGAGATTGAAAATTTACGTTATATTTTATACTAACTTTGCGTTGACTCTCATCGTTTTTATCAATTATTACGCTTTGCTTTCATGAAATTATCTGATTTTCATTCTTTCTCGAGTCCATCAAAATGCACCCACTAACTTCTTGGATTTCAGCGGATGCTCTCGTAAAAGCATTTGCCGTTAAACAAGTTCTTCCTCTGACATCGAAGTGCAAGCTCACGGGGGTAACGAGACTTTTGAGAGTTGTCGATATTAAAAGGCGTAACTCGTACGCGACGTGAGTCGAAGTAGATGAACAGGTACATTACGACAGAATATTTACCGTATATCAAAGAGTTAGAAATTTAGTAATAGAATTGGCGGAAATTTGCCAGGTTCACTATTTGCTCGTTCAAGCTCTTGATTTCTATTGGTTTACTGATTGCCTTCGCGTTGTAAGAATTTTAACTATCGACCGATTCTGAAATACGCGAAACTTACGGGTAAAGTCTCAAATGAAGTCAATAGGAAGAAAATTTCTTTTCTTCACTTTGGAGAAAATTAGATCATTCGAATAGAATTTAAAAAATTTTTTTAGCACAGATTTTTAACAAGTTAAAGACAAAAACATGTTGAAAATACAAAGATTATAACAAAGATTATATAAGATATAAAAAGATTTTTTTGCTCTATGCAGTTTTTTATTGTACAGTAATAAATGTAAATAAATGTAATTTTTGTAAAGAAGAGAAAATGATATTTACATTTTGTATGAATAAGAATTACTTAAAATTAATGGAAATTAGCAGCAAGAATGGTAAAAATAGCGTTTAATTACATCTATAAAAACACCGAAAGCATGTTAAATATCTCTCGCTTGGCATTACTGCTAGCGGAGTCGTTAGTTTTTAATCGAAACAAGCACACGATGCATTGTGGCACATCGATGCATATGAGTTCGACCCTCATCCTCCATGGATCTCACTCGCGAAAGAATAAATAACGCGAAAATCGCATTTGGCAACCGTCCAAAATACGAAACACCCTGTCGCTCGACGAAAGGTGCGTATTAAATTCACGGCTCTCAAATTCCCGCGGCCGCTATCCTGAATCGTTTAAATCCCTTTTCAGCTAGTTAAAATACCAGCGTATTCCGAGGCGCTGCGGGAAAATTATTTTGCACACGAAGAGAGAGATATATGAAGATTTCAGTTTGATTTTCATATGTACGTCACGCATATGGTGCGTCTAATTTTCTACACGGTAGAACGGTGGACTGACTTAATTATTTCGACACGAGATATCCGAATTTACTTTTGTGAAATAATATAGATATAGGATTGGATTTGTATAATATCACATAGATTTCGGATTCTTAATTGCTATGTGATAAGAAAAAAAGAAAACGATAAAATTGCATATTTAATCGATAAGCGAAAATATATTCAGTTTTATTTTTTATTTATTTTTTAATATTCAAGTTATCGCTGTGTGATTTTATTACATACATTATGATAATTAATGCATACTGTAAATTTTAAATTTGCATTTTCGACATTTTTCGGATAAGTTTAAAAAATAACATTGTTTTGAATTTTATACAACATTACATCTTGATAGCTTGTTTATCTTGCTCTTTTTTTCCATCATTTTTTATTAATATTGTTGAGAATATACTGGTAGGTTATCTGAATAGCTTCGAGCATTAAAGCCTTTGAAAAGAGTTTCAATAGTATTCAAATTATTTTGAAACATCTTGTTAGTTTATAAAAGAATGCAACATTATATGATTGACACAGAGTTTCCCTCTTTAAGGAAAACAATGAAATTGAAAGATTTATATTTTGTATTTTTTTGTAAGAACAGAAAGGTTCAAGGACTCCGTAACTGAATAATTAATCGATTTTCTTCTAACAAATGATTATTTAATTACGATATTTGACACCTGTGGACACAATTTTTTAACAATTGATATTGTTTGTATAACTGCATAACTGCAGAGATTATCCTTATTTGTCGGTATTTTATTATTTAAGTTATCGTACGTTAAAATTAATCCGTTTCACGATTAACAGTGGTTAATCGATAAAGAGTAGAAGAGATAAAATATAATCAGTTGTGACTTAAAGTGTATATTTTTTAATAACTTTATGAAGATAATTACAAATATCGCTTACATATATATAAGTCATTTATCGAGCAATTTTTATTTAATTGTAATATCTTACCAACGTTTCTACTAATGACAGTCTCGAACGTTCATAGTGCGTGCATTTCAGCTAATTTTAATTTGAAGAAATTTATTTGGAAAATGAAGAGATAACGGACGAAATTCCAGCGTAGATAAGTGTATATACATATTACAAATAATAAATAGTTACGTTATTTTTTTATCAACATCTTTGACTTTTTTTTATAAGCGATATTATTGTACCGTAATGAAGATGAATGACTATGATATATCAGATACCAAATTCAGGCTGTATCTCAGACAACTGTTAACAATTTCGGGACAATTGATCGGAATCTGCGTAACCGGTATGTCGTTTGGCTACAGCGCGATACTTCTTCCGCAATTGAAGACAATTTCGACCAATAACATCAAATCTTTATTCGAATCTGTGGATGCGGATCATTTCGGAGTGCTTAGTATCGATCAAGAGTCATGGATCGCAGCATCTACACTTCTACCAATAGTTCCAGGATGTTGTACCGGTGGATTTATGGCGGAAAAACTTGGCAGAAAGACATCGGTGATGCTAATATTTCCTGTCTATCTTATAGGTTGGTTGATTATCGGTTTCGCCAACAGCATAGAAGTTTTAATAGCAGGCAGTTTTCTCTCTGGATACTGTGTCGGGGTCTTGGCGCCCATATATTCGATCTACGTGAGTGAAACAAGCGACCCTCTGCTACTGGGGGCAGGCAACTTGACCCTTTCGGTCGGTATATTGGCGTGTCACGCGATGGGAACTTGGCTGCATTGGCGAACCACCGCGTATATCTGTGGCGTGTTACCTGTAATCTGTTGGATAGTCTCTGTCTACTCGCAAGAGAGTCCATTGTGGCTACTTCGTAAAGGCAAATTTGAGGAGGCGAAACGCTCCTGGATATACCTTCGTGGCAAAGAATCACTTGAGGAATTCTCCCTCCTGGAAACCATTAGACTCGCGGAAATATCAGGAAAGAAAATCAAGAAACGATCGTTATTGCAATCACAAAAAAAGATGTGGACCTCGCGATATTTCCTGAAACCTCTCAGCATAATCTGTCTGTACTTCTTTATCATGCAGTTTTCAGGTTCTAACGTAATGATTTTTTACTGCATCGGGATGTTGGTAAGTGTCTCGCACTCGCCCTATGGGGTAATGCTTATCATCGACACAATTCGTCTGATATTTGCTATTCTCATGTGTGTTCTTCTGAAAACATGCCGCAGGCGCACTGTGACGTTTATATCTTGTTATGGCTGTGCTATCATAATGTTATCTTTAAGTGTGTGCTTGACATTTGACATTGGAAAACCTTGGAGTTTCGTAATTTTAATCGTTACTTATATCATTTTGGTGTCATTGGGATTGACTACTCTACCCTGGATGCTTTGCGGTGAATTATTTTCGAGAAAGTATTGTGAATTTGGTTCCGGATTAGCATCCAGCTTCAATTACATGTGCATGTTTATAGTAATCAAGACGATGCCGCTTATGATGGAATTTATGCAGCTTGAAGGTACATTCGCCGTTTACGGCATTGCGACGTTGATCGGAAGCAGTGTCTTATACTTCATTCTTCCTGAAACCAAGAACAAAACCTTACAGGAAATTCAGATATGTTTAGACAAGAAATGTTACACGCCGAAAGCACAAAATGTGGACGTACCGTTTGATGAATGTGTTTTTTCCAAGAAAAATGATGAATTGGATGAGAAAATGTTGGTTGAATGATAATCATTTAATGAACATAGATTACAACATATAATAAATATTTTTATAAGTATATCAATATTATAATAATTCCTATATTTATACATATGTAATTTGAATGGAATCTATAGATATCTATATATTTTATTTTAGTATGGAATATATTGTTGCTTTTCTTTCATAAAAGAAGCGTATGTTATAGCATATTATAAAGTAGGAACATCTGCGCATATTATATCTTTTTTTTCTGGTACTTTTGAAAACTTTACGTAATCGAGACTTGAATGTTGAGATTATAAAGTTCAACTTGCAGCGATGATGTATTTGACGGTAATGTGTGACTGTGCATTACCGCAAACAATTTCGCATTGCCGTAAGTGACGACGCGACGCGTCTTCTTTGATCAGATACATTTCGGTCATACCGTAAAATTAACTGATGCGTCGAAATAATGATTCTGCGGCCGTCGGGACGGAGCGGCTAGAGCAATAGAAATTTAACTGCAAGCCTTGCCAGTATGACGGACCGTAAAATTGCGTTCTCACGTGATTATTGCTCGGACCACTTACCGCAGCTGATGAAAATTACGGTTCGTCCCGGCGGTTCGCGTGACGTTTTGCGGGTAGCGCAATGACTTAGGCGCGTACGCAAGTGAAATATGATGGCGGTGCTGTCGAGGTTATTAAAATGCGAGGAATCCTGATTCATTACCTTTCGTCGAGATTTCAAGGCGATAAGGATAAAGATTGTTTCCAGTTTCCGGTTGATAGATGTATCTGCTACCGTATATAATATATATACGTAGATATTAAAGTTTCTCAATAGAAATGACACGTTTTCAATTCTAATCACATTGTTTTTGCGTCGTAAATCGTAAAATTATATTATGGTCGCCAATCGAATTCGACAGTGATGAATTTAATCTTGTATTTGTATTGGACTAACTTTTACTCGTTTGTTATTTCATAGTAGACAGTAATTCATAGATAGATCTTTCAGATATCTCTTCAGATACTCTTTCTGTTGGCATGATTTCAATCTCGTAGTATCAAAGGCAAGCGCAATAAAGAATCACGCTAAACTCCGATGGTTTTTCTCTTTTTAATTTCATCCCCAATCCTAACTCATTACCCTCTTTTCTTCGACCACGCTCTTATTCGGCTCGCCTCGTGTTGATTATTGCAAGCACGCAAAGCGGTCGTTACGTTATCCTTGCTTCTTTTTACTCTATAGCCATTTTCGTTAGTACTCGTCTTCGCGAAACTCAATTCACAGCAAAATATTGATCGCAAATCTTGCAGCGACAAAACGCCGCACTACTTATATTGCAGCAGCATATGATCTTTATTATTATTATAGCTTTATATATTGATTAAAAATTTCAAGAACATACATTTATATTATATGTATAATTAATTTATCTTTGAGTGCTTATGGATATTGAAAAAAAAAAATTTCTGCCGAAGTAAGAAATCTGATGATTTGAAAGATTTCACGATCAACAGTGATTGAGAATGAAAAGTCGATGATATCACACGTGATTTATGACGATAAGGACAATCTCGGCCCAATTTCCCACGTGCAACGTGCCTGAACTGCATATAATCTTCATGAATGCATAATGACCCATCGTGCGTCCTCTCTCGTGGCCCATTCAGGAAGGTCCTCGTGTAATGGAGAGGAATAAAAACTAGGTGGTCCCTACGCGATAACGTCGCGCCAATGGCGCTTTTTGCGACGGTGAAGCACTTTAGACTTCTCTTCGATCTATCGCCCTGAGAAGCTTAACAGTGGAAAATGCAGTCGAGCGAGAACGTTTAGCACTCTCGATTCAAGACATTTGTATTGATTCAGATCGCTCTATAGTCACCATATTATAAATATATATCGCAGTTCAAGTATAAAAAGTATTGACTTTCGCAAAGTGCTAAGTGAATTCTTAGCACAGCTTTGTGTTCAATACAAACGATAGAAAAAATTCATTAGGTAATATATTGTGAAACCAATAGAATTTGTTTCGAAAAGTGTAAGTGTTGAATTAGAGACAAAATATTGCGGATTAGGGAATGTTTGTCTTCGATAGAATCTTTTTCGATATCAAACATCAAAAATTACGTTTGTATATGTAATATATGTTAAGCTTAAATATATGTTAACATCCATAACAAAAAGTGATTTTATTATTTTTTCATATCACAGCACTTTAAAAAGGTATTAAAAAATCGAGTAAATATTTATAGTTTCAAATATTCGCATTATTAATATTGAAATAATACGAATTTGATGCAGCAACAAAAATATAAAAGGATAGCAAATTTATTGGTAAAATAAAAATGTGACATCGTAACAGACACGCGTCCCGTGAGTTTTGTGTTTCATGAACATTCCTCGTGGTCATCACCGTCCGCTGTTCTATGTCTATGTTGTGAAATGATATCTTGTTTTTCATGAGGTTCTTTACGCATTTTCCGCGGAGCGATTAAACAGCAATTACTTTTATATCTCGACCAATGCTATTCTTTGTCTAGGAAACGTAGATTGCCACAGTTTCGAAAAATTTAGGCGGTTTCTGTCTCGCCCGACGCAATAAAGCGCAACTCCATTTGCATTAAATTTTTCAAACGCTGCTGTAAGCGGTACTTTTTATCGCAACATTGCGACACAGTCGCTTAAAGCGTAACCGCTGTTTATGCGTGTTTTTTTCCTCGGGACTCTTTGTCCGGCTTAATAAATCGTATTTGCGACCATTTGTAGCGCAATCCCTGTAATCGCAGGCTTCTTTTTTGACACATGTTTCGCGCGAGGCTAATAAATTGCGATTACATCTGCCGGTTCCCCATCCATAGCACTATTCTTTTGCATTGTACATGATTTTACAATAAAATTCATCATTCCATACAATTTGTCAATACGAGCTATGTCATTAAATTTTTACAAAATTATTCATTGTTCACGAGATATCGAAGTTTAAAGAGAAGCATCTCATTGTAATTATGCGTCGGCAGTCTGTCACTTCCGATGAGAAACTCAAACTCTTCGATGTCATTAGAAAATTTATACGAGCTGGAGGACAGAACGTTGATTAAATCTGGGTTGCCAGCAGAGATTCAAGACTTTCTGACAAAATTGAAGGAGCGATCTCCAGCCGCTGCGAGTAATCGTGGAACGAGGTGGTCTCTGTAAGAAAAAGAAAGTATCTAGAACTTTATCAAGTCCTAGGAATCCACTGACAGCGGAAAAAGAAAGTAATGGAAGGACCGGTTCGCACTTTGGAACTAAGGAGCAGGAGATAAAGGTTGACCGGTTTATCTTCGAAACAGAAAGGACGTTATCCTGCATCGAGAAAGAAAGAGAGAGAGAGAGAGAGAGAGAGAGAGTTTTTGTTTTAAATTAAATTAAATCTTTATCGTCTGCCGTCTTCTGTTATTGTGCGTGACATTTTTTTGCACTCCGTAGCTTATCTCCATTAGTAATTAGAACGTATTTTGAAATAAATTCTTCGCTGTATTTTCTGTTTTTCTTTGATTGTTATGTATGTTCTATCTTCAATTGGATGCATTTTAAAAATGATAAATTCGATATTCTGACGCAATCGCCTCGAGAGTAAAGTAAATTTTTTTTTAAATATTTTTAAACAAAGAGCAATACAAATACTACATTGAAATGCAAATTAAAAGTGTAAGTGAAGCAGAAGAAATAACAAATCTTTTATCTAAAATAAGAAAACCAAACTTAATGATTTATCCTGACATTGCTCAACGACGAAATCAACTCTACTTTTGGTCGCTAACGAAAATGTCGTTCCTCGCATCAGTTCTGCTTAAGAGCCTGACAGGGTGATAAAAACGAACTGGATTTTCCGAGACCTCTTTTCCTTCTTGCTCTTTTCTTCACCTGTGCGGCGCCTGCGGTGGCAATAATTTGCAATTTTTGTGAAACGTATACGAAGCCGGAGGTAATGTCGGAATCGACTTTAGGAACAACACTCTGAAAGTTTCGTGGACCGTGATGATGGTGTTTGCCATAAAGTCGCAAGTTAACCGGCAGATAACAAAGTTGCAGTGTTCTAAATATGACGATGAAGTGGTGTAACTTCATTGTATTGTTTTCTTTCAATGACGCTTACCTTTTTTATGATAGTGTTTATAATCGCGTATCCTGTCATTAATTTAATGAAAATTTATTGTAACTATATTTCGATTATTTTTTTCTTTAGAAATGTATTTCTATATTTTATAAAATATAATTATAATTATAAAAGTGTTTAATTATAAAGATAAATGTAGGACAAAACATTTTTTTAATAGTAACTGAAATAGAATGATATATATATATATATATTATATATACGTGCGATATTTTTATATAGTTATATCTTTAAACAAAAAAGATTATTATATAATGAGAAGTGAAATATGTGTATATTGCTGAAAAAATTAAAAATTATTAATTTGAGAAAATATTTACACAAAATATTTTATAATCTAATTTTCGCAAAATTCAAGCGTCGTTGCTTTCTAAGAATTAGAAGTAACGATCTCGGTGCTCTTTTCAGCGTCACGTGCCTCGTGAAATTTTAAGTTCAATGCGCGAAAGGAAAACGTTCACCTTTACGGGCCGAAATCACGCGAACAAAAGTCCATCATCGACCGTAGAATCGTTGCTGAGAAAGCTCGGGACAGGAAATGATGTTCGCCCGTGATCGCTTGAAACTTCATGAAATTCTATTTCGAAGTTGAAACTACATTCGGTCCTGAGCCTCAGCTTTGCATAAAATGATAACATCTATATCGCTAGGGATATCACGCTCTTCCAACATTTGATGA